ATTTATCAATTAAAATACGTTTCGGTGTATTTTTCCACCATCATCAGTTTTTATGTGTAGCGTTGTTGCTGCTTTAAGCCTTGGCATACATTTTGAAAATGTATGCCAAGGCTTAAAGTGCAGCTCCTGTGCAATGGAGATTACTACGAACAAAAGGAAGGAGTAGCCATGGGAAGCTTACTCAGTCCGGTGGTAGCGAACCTATTCATGGAGAAGTTTGAGGAAACAGCGTTGAGCACCGCACCCCTTAAACCAACGATCTGGTACCGATATGCACGTTCGTGCTATGGAGGCATGGACGCAAAAAGCTGGACATCTTCCTCGACCATCTAAACAAACAGCACCCAGGTATCCAATTGACCGTGGAAGTTGAACAAAACCACCAATTGGCCTACTTGGATCTTTTGATGTCTAGGCAGAGGAATCGTTTGGACCACAAGGTATATCGAAAAGCCACCCACACGGACAGATATCTTCACAAGCTGTCTAACCACCATCTGAGTCAGAAGCAGGGAATCATTAAGCCTCTTACGGATAGAGCCAGAAAAATATGTGGACTACAACATCTAACCACAGAACTACAGCACTTGGAAAAAGCTGTTCTTCAGAACGGATATTCCCAGTTGGACATCAAAAAAGCTGTAGGAATGGGCCGTGCTGAAAAAAGTGAATAACCTTGAAAGCTTTCCTGCCCTTTGTTCCCAAGGTTAGAGACAGAATTGGGAGACTCCTGAGGAAACACAACATAAGATCGTTCTACAAGCCCACAACAAAGATCTGAGAATGTCTAGGGTGAGTTAAAGACAGAAGAGCAACTGCAGGAATCTACCGCATTCCATGCTCCTGTGGAACCGTCCATATAGGAACTACTAAGAGATCGGTTGCGACAAGAATAGAAGACCACCGACGGAATTATAAACTGGGACTTATGGAAAAGTCGGCAGTGGCAGAACATGCGCTCAGCGATGGAACACACAACATATATTTCGGAGAAGCACAGGTCCTAATCGGTATCGCCCCCGACTAATACGAGAAGCCATTGAAATCTACAAACATGACGACAATTTCAACACACAGGAAGAGACAACGGCGCTAAACAGAATATGGTTTCCATCTCTTTTGATAAGGCAGGAAAACTTTCTACATTGCATCACATAACATCCGCACGATGGTACTCGATGAACATCTTAATGAAACTAGGAGATGTGGTGAAGCTGCAACCATCCTGAAATCAGGGAAAACTCCGACTTCCAGAGAAACTCCGACGTAAATGCTCATATCGGCGGTGTAGCCCTGCTGATTCACAGAAATGTAAAATATCTTCGGATATTAAGATACGGGCGGTCTCAGATAGAGTAATCTATGCATGTCTCAGGATTAATAGCAGACTCCAGCAGCCAGGTTCTATAAAAGCTCACGCCCACCTCTGTCTCGAGAAATGAAGAAAATGAACAATGCTATGAAGAAAAGACTAAGATCACGGTCATAGTGGGAAATTTTAATGCTAAAATTGGAGCAGAAACTGCTAGAGGTCCTCCGTACGTCGGACCTTTTAGCTTGGGTGAGCTGGGAGAGGGGTGGTGGGTGAGACTGAGTACTGTCTGAATACCGTTTTTAAATTGCAATCAAATAGAAAGTGGACCTAGAGAAGCCCAGAAATTAAGTAGAAAAACGAAATTGACTACGTCCTTGCACAGACAGACGCATATGTTGAGACGTGTCATTTCTGAATCGGTTTGATACCAGCAGCGACCACAGAACCGAAAGGAGCGACTACCGACAAGAAAATCTGCCCCACAATGGCGGAACTTAAAGGGAAGGACGAAGACGACAGCGCCCAAATTGACAAGAAACTACGACCAACTGAGGAGCTACGGAAAATGAATGTTAACGCGTTGTCAAAAAAGATCACAACAAGCATCCGAACTGCAGTTAGGGCAGTCTGTGCGCTGCAGAGACCAGCAAACACAGAAAACAGCCCAGACACTGAGGTGCTGATCGAAGCAAAGGGAGACTCGCCGAGGTATGCGGACTTGAACAGAAGAGTCAAGGAAGCTATTAAAAAAGACTGTGAAGAGTACAATACGAAATTGATCAAGGAAGCCATTGAGAAGAACAACAATTTGAGAGTTTTGGGCTCCGCACTGTCGACGGGGAAAACTACAACATGTAAAATGAAAAACGACCGATAAGATGTTGTTACAGATAGGGACAAAATCACGGAAATCATCGAAAAGTTTTTTCGCAACCTCTATGACCGGGCAGCTCAACCCCAAGGTGATCCAAAAACATAAACAAAACTATACTACCTTATCGCACAGTTATTGAACTTTTTTGCAGTTTCACTGCTGTAGTGTTTATCTGTCAAACACCACTCAATAATTAATTATTTTAGCCATCAATCATTTTTTTTTGACTGTAAAAATGGAGTCAAGAAGCAAACTGGCCGAAAAGAGAAAGTTGCGCAAAAAAGAAATAATTGTTGGTTCGCTCGTTGTTACTTGTATCCTGGTAATGGTGTTTTCCAGCTATCAAGCGAGATTGATTCTTGACCACTGTGGAAGAGATTTCAGACTAAGCCATTTATCCTATCCGTTTTATGAACAACTTACTATGACTTTCCTGGAAGTGGCGTTGTCCATTGCAGGACTTATTGGACTATGGACGAAAAGGGGTGCAGTATATTTTGTGGCCATTTCGTTTTGGATTTGTACTGTGATGATTCAGCATTTTGCTGATCTGCTCATGGGCATTATATACCTACTTTCGTATGGGCACGGCCTCGATGGGGTAGAGAGATTTCTCCGCCGAAATTTTGAAAACCTCAAAGAGTCTAATATTTTTGCCACTGCCAAGGTAAGTTTGATTGACATATTGGTGCAGTTTGCTTGAATATTTAGTTATTTCTTAATACAGTGTCTTGTATCCACATACATTTCCAGATTAATCGTATTCAGAAATGCAAACAATGTTGCGGTATTAACGGAATTGACGATGATTATGTTCGATTGTCAAACGATACTCTAATTTCCGGCTGTTGTCCTCCTGATACTATTTTACCGTAAGTAGCAAAATGCGCTAAAAATATTGGCTTTACTTAGGGTATTTAGTTATAAATTGACACCATCAATAAATGATTTACTTAGGAAATGATCCAGAAAACATCGCATTTTTTAAGCATTTTAGTTAAATTTATTAAATATTCCCACAGAGCGTACATACGTTCTGTGTGTCCATTTAATAAATTCATAAAGATGATGCGAATGTATTAGAAAATGCCTTAAAACCTTAAGGCTGGGTTTCAATGTGCATGACCTAAATACTTGTAAACTATGTAATGAATTAGAATGCCCAAAAGCAAAATATGCATATTTTAATTTCTAGCTAATCCAAAATAAGCTTTTTTTACTTATGATAAGCAGGGTAATTGATAATGAAGTTTTATTTGTTAATCAATGTGGTTAAAATAATGGGGATTAAGAAAGTGTAGTATTAACTAAAAATATTAAAACTGCAATTACATATAACAATCAAGAATGCTGCAATTTATTGACCTAAACCAGAGATTAGTAGATCTACTAATCTCTGCTTAAACGCCTTACTTAAATATCACCACACTCCTTTCAAACAACGAAAAATCCTTTCTCATATTTAAAGAATTTTTTTTTGTATGGAAACATGTATCCATGTACATACGATATACCCTATAAAGCAGTGTTCAGAAATAACGCATTCTTTAATGGTAAATTTCAGTTAAATCAAAGTGTGCCAGAATCGAGGATTTCGGGGCAATTCTGATTTGGATCACTTTTAATTCAACTCTGTATATTTTATTTTCGTTTCTAGATAGTTTAAGCTTCAACATGAGCTTCAGATTTTGAAAATTCACCTTAGTGAAAAATATTATCCTTGCAAGATCAAAAAGTTGACTTTGAACGTAATAGGCAAAAAATTCTGAATTCGGTTCGAGATATGAGTTATTATGCCGTTGCGGTTAAAAATAAAGTTTTTTGTTCAACTTGGCCATGCCAAACATTCAGAATTTTTTACATTGTTATAGTGTTGGCTCTGTAGGAATTTTATCTGAATCTGTATTAAGTTTTTGCATGAAAATGGACTCACGGCAAAATAATTTGACTAAAAAGGGTTTCAAACAAGAATCAAACTGCTCACAGGAATCAAGTTATTCAGTTCCAGAGTTAGAGAAAATTTTGGCGTGTAACTTTTAATAAGCGGTACATCCTATTGAAAGTAAATTGATTTCATGGTGGTTGATGGTAAAAAAAGCACAAATGTTTTACTCTAATTTGAGATTATGTTAGATTAGAATTACTTTCCTGTAGATATATCTTTGTATTAGCAAATTAAAAAAAGCATTTGTTTGGAAACCATATTTTCCTTATTTTGATATGAAAACATCTTGCTTTACACTATTGTTAAAGCACATATCGAAATACATCGAACTAATTATACAATACCATTAATTGAATTAATTTCTTTCATAATTGAATAATTTGAATTGTACGGATCGACTCTTCGGAGCACTAGCCTACATGACCATTTCGAGCCAGTCTGATTTTTTTTTATTTAAGAAGCAGGGGAGATTCGAGTACATAAGCTAACCAAAAAATGTAACTCTTATGTATAAATATTACCAAATATTGAATTAAGATTGAATTGAATGACTTTTATATTTGACTAATAAAAAAATAACCGCATCAATTGATTATGGCAAAAATTCTACGACTACTCTAGAAGGGCAATTGATTTATTTTTATTGTTTCATGTGACCCGAACGGGGTCTAAGACTAATGAAAACTGAGCTCTCTGTGTATCTTTGAAACGCTAGATTTAACGTTAGTTTCTTCACAGATGCACTCGAGAAAGAGCATACAAGGATGGATGTGCCCTCAAGTTGCTAGAAGATGAGTATAACATTGGAATTTTTCACGCTTTGAGTGCTGTTAGTATTATTTTTCAGTTTTACAATTATAGAGCGTCTTTGAGTGCGTTTGTGTAAACTACTACTAGAAACTTATGAGCAATTAGGCATTATATTTTGTTTAATCATAAGGTGAAGAATAAATACATTTCAGTTCATGTATATGATAAAATAATTTAATAGAAAGTAGTAAAAATTTGACGAAAAAAACAACGAAACGTTGCCAAAAAGCGCACAAATATGTGATTCCAAAAACCTTAAGAATGTATATACGGGGTGAGCCAATTACAACTAAAGCACGCTAATTTCTCGGTTGATACATAAGTTATGCAAACTTTAGTCTGGAGATTATTTTCTACTTGATACTTGAGGTGATTGCATTCATTTTCTGGACAGGGATGAACATTTTGTTTTTAAATGAAGGGGTATCGATTGTTACATTTTATTAAAGGATTTTTAGAGGACTTTATGGTGCTGATTAAAGTTCTGCTTTGAAACAGCTGCTAATAAGTACCTAAGTCAATTTTTTTCTCAACTCTGAAACTAGATAGCGCACAGAAGTATAAAAATACTTCTGCTGAAATAAGCTCAACCAAGTTTTCGAAATTCGAACGTTGTTCCATCAGAATCGGAATTTTCTTTTCAATATCCGCTTTTCAAACAAAGCAAGTTTTCTATTGGAATGGCATTGTTAATCAGTGTGAGAACTGTATACATCTTTGAATATAAAACTAACTTAGTTTTATATTCAAAGGTATGCATATATTGGTCAGATATTCGTGAGTCCAACTACCGATGGTGGCGCTGCGAAACGTCAAATTCCTCGTTGTCGAGTGACAGTTGAAACTTGTCGTTGAAAAATTTTATTGGAGTTTCTGACATTTATAATTTAAAACAATTTTCTATCTGTTTCTATTTCTTTAAAAGCTTGCCAAAGTGGATTCGAGCAAAACAAAATAAATCACAGTCAGATTTAAACAGTAATGTGACACCAATGTCAACAAAACAAGTGTCAAATTACTACTTAACTTGTAGTTATCACTTTGGTCACCAGGAGGCGTCTGGACTTTTCAACTTGCGAATACAGTCCACGAGATTTGATTTACCTCACCAACAGATTTTCAACTAATTTGTGTTAATATTGAAAATTTTGATTAGCAAGTCATATGTATCATTGGATGCAATGTTTTAATAGAATTCGTCCAACAATTCGTTTAATTCACTGGTACTTGGCCACGTGGCCATTGGCGTTCACTGCACGATTTCTGGTACCGATCAAAAGCTTCTTGGTATTTCTTCCGTCGTTTCAATGGCACAAGATCCGAAACAACATTAAAAACTTTGTTCTCAATATCACATGGTAGATCATCGCTTGAACTTATTATAAATTGTGCAAATTTTAGACACACATTTGACAATGTGTCTGATGACAATGACAATTCTCATTACCTGGGTTCTCTATTCAACTTTATAACTTTTATTTTTACTCCAAAAATCATTAAAATAATAATTGTTGTAGTTGTAGATATAATAATATTGTATTTATATAATATTATTAACGCACTTATGTGATTACAAGACTCGGCCTTCGGCCTCGTCGTGCAAATCTTAACATGCGTGCGTTAATAATATTCATATCCTACTGGTTACGTAAATAACTATAATCTTGTGTTTGATGTGGCTGACATTTTTAGCATTAATATAAATTATGTAGCCCAATCATCAGGTGAGAGTAATTAAGTGTGGCGCACTTTATATCAGATATGGGTTAATATATGACCAATGGGTGGGTATTTTCGGGTTGCATATTTTCGGGCCGCATTTTATTTCCGGAAATCTGACTTAAAAGATTTTGCTTATCCAACATTAGTAGTTATCGCAGAAAATAGTCCGAATTATTCAGAAAATATATTGAGTCCAACAAGACGGTGCACTACTGTACTATGTGTTAACGGTTAGATAATTTCTAAATGAAAATTTGCCTGGTAGTAGGAGGATTCCATTAGTAGTAGGAGTCCACTTGAATAGTTTGCAAAGTTCACATATATGACTTCACTAGATTTTATCTAATGGGATCATCCCAAGTTGAAACGGTACTCCGTTCTCCTAGTAAATTGATATGGGTCCAAGAACACATTGTTAATGAATGCCGTCAAATAACACCTAAAATACTCCACGTACAACAACGATTCAGTGCAAACGCATTTCAGCCAAGAAGTTAAAGGACAATATTTTGGACACTTGATATAAGTTCATTAAGGGCTTTACCCCTCGATACATTTTAACTATTCACATAGGAATAATCTATTTACTCATCAGAAGCTGCTTCAAAGTAGCAACTTTTAGTCACGGCAAAAATAGATATAACCCGTTATTTGGTGTATCACTTTTCCATTTAAACTTGGCTTGTTACTTGTCTGGTGATAGATATGAAGGAAATCATCACAAGTAGATAATAGAAAAGCCTCCTGTTCCAAATGTTGAGGTGTCCTAGTATATTTGCACAATTTTTGTATCAACCGAGAAAACTATTTTGTTTTAGTTGGCGCCCCATGTATGATAAAATTAGTCTTGTGTTGTATTGTTGTTGAGTATGATAGACAAATTTGATGTTGCAAAAATCAATATTATGATGCACAAAAAAACAATACAAATACAAGCATGATTTTTCAATAATTGAGAAACTTCAGTTATTTCTTTGATTCTCGGAAATTATTTCTCTGGAAAATCTCGAAAACAAGCAGTAGGGCAACAAGTTTATTTTTCACGCATATAAATCAAGCTAAATCATTGTCTTAGGCTTAGTTTGAAGTGTCATTCGCTTATTCATGTAACGATACTTTTTTGATGATCCTTAAAAAAAAGAAAAGTATTAAATGCGAAATACTCGAATGATTGAGGCTCGGTTTACTTATAAAAATCCGGTTAGATCAGAAACACATCTATTGCGTTTGAGTAGCTTTCCTACTTGGTATTTCACCAAATGTCCTTGAGATTGTCTTCAATAATCTCAGTCTTCTCCATGTCAACGTTGTAATTGAACCCTTTTGTCATGTGATAAACGTTCGTAAACGTATTTCACTAAATATTTTTGTTTTGATATTAGTTAATAATTATTGACACTTTAAAGTGTTTACAGTATGGACATCCAATTAGCTCGTGTTCGGGCAATTTATGAGAAGACATGCCTATTTACTGTTTCCGAATCGAGCAATCCAAGTTATCTATGCTGTTAGGGTCAAATCAAAATTACCACTTGATACCAAAGGTGTGTAAATAAGTCTTAATTTTAGATAATTTATTTCGAAATGGCCATAATTTACCAACGGTATATCAATAATTATGCACTCGCATTATGACAATCGCTGATTTATGCAGTCAAAGTCAAAGGACTAAAGCATCATGAATAAAAATAATGAATCGATATAATCTTTATCGTTGAGAAAAAACATTGTTACGCTTGGCCTCAATTCACTGTCTGAAATAGATGATATAAAAAGGGGAGAAAGAGCAATAACACTCATGCCACGCCGTATCAAATAGTCGAAGACGATGGCTTCTAACTTTCTTACGTTTAAGACATATGTAATTCTATTTTGAGAATGCGAAAGTATGAATTTAAAAATGTATCCCTATGAAGCGGATATTAGAATAATTCTGCCGTGATAAACCTATTGGGATTCTTCTTTTTCTTCTTCTTAGTCAGCTCTCGATCATCTACTCCTAGATATAGGCCTCTCTTATGCTCCCCCACATTGATCTATCTTGTGCTGTCTGAACCAAGCTTTTTCCTACATCTTGCTTAATGTCGTCGAGCCATCTTCTCTGCGGTCTTCCTACGCTGCGCCTTGTCAGTCTTGGTCTCCAGTTTACCAGCTTATACGTCCATCGCGACTGATTTTGTCGTCCGATATGTACCACCCACTGCCACTTCAATTCTACAATACGTGCTATTACATCTACGACTTTGGTTCTTCGTTTCTTTTCCTGTCCCTAAAGCTGATGTTAAGCATTGCTCTTTCCAACGCTCGTTGCATTACCTTCAGTTGATTTGTGGTCTTTTTCGTCATTGCCAGTGTTTCCAGGCCATAAGTCGGCTGGCAATATGCAGGTGTCGAAAACTCTTCTTTTGAGGTTTATAGATATTTCATAATTTCTAAATATCAAGTTCAGTTTTACGAAGGCTACCCAAGGTATCCTTCTGCTGTTTGATGTTCCTTTCCTATGATTAATGTGTGTCATAAATATATATACTCTTCTACATTTTCAAGTTTTAAACTATCTATGTATATTTGTTCCGAAGTGCTACTTAAGATTTTGGCCTTCGAAATGTTCATTTTTAACCCGATCACTTTAGGGGCATCGTTCAGTTGATTGAGCATCTCTCTCAGTTCCTGTATATTGATACTTATTATGACGATATCGTCGGTGAAACTGATGTGGTTCAAGTAGGATCCATTTATATTTATCATTTTCAGAAAGCTCAAGGAAGATTCTCCTTTTTTCGTAAGTCTGGAAGACGTGTCTCAAGTCAATAATGTTTTGAAGTAGCTACCTTACAAAATACTCCTGTCATCCATCTACACTTTTGGTTAGTGTTATAAAGCAAAATTTTCGTCCGCCTTCATAAGGTTTGACAAGGCGGAATATTTCTATACAGATTCTAACTGCCACTGCCGGCTCAAGCCCGGATAAAGGAGGATGGTTTGAGATTAGGAGGGTAGCACCCTGCCCGTCGTAAAAAAACCATCATGCTCAAAGCACTGCTACGCCAGAGTCGGAAACAGGACGCATCAGACGGAAATACGGACAAGGCAGGACACGAACAAACGATCGAGAAAAAGAAATAACCTAAGGGTGGCATGTGGATGTGTATGTCCAGAATACTTATTATAATTGCTAAAATCCAACCATGGAAATATGTCGACTTGGCTAGATGGAACGTCCCAGGGTTACTGCAGACCAAAAAGACGTTTGTTTTGGAGAGAGAACTTAAACTGAATACAGACATCGGAATATGGGACTAGTTATGGGGAAATGCCAAAGTAACATAGCAGAAGCGCTGTATGAACTTACACCAGCAAAGGACTAGATATACTGGACGATTGGCTCCACGAATGGACGTAGATAGTGGACGATCTTGAGGATACACCCTGTA